CCTGAGCGACATAGAGTCTGCCGAAATTCCTATGTAGTGCCGAAATCAGTACTGGACGGTTACCTGAATACGCCCTCTTTACTACCGTTAAAAAGGAGGCTTACCAGCGTCGGGATTTTTCAGTATAATCCATTTTGCCAGGCCTAGAAACTCCTCTGCCACGTTCAGTTTACCTATTCCTAGATTACACTCTGCTAAGAGGAGGTAACTATCTGAACGGCATGATGCTAATTACTGGAAGCCACTCCATCGAGCTACCAACGAGCTCAGTCGATGTAGCTCCGAAGAGCTCAGTCGTGAGCTTCAAGGCTTGCAGGGCGCCAGGGATGGCCAAGAAACACTCATCTCGAATCTGCACTATTGCATTCCAGCATCTTCTCCGAAGAGAGATGAGACCATAGGAACCGATGGAAGCTTATGATAGACTAAGTAACTTACAAGGAATCCCTTCGCTGTTTCCGAGCATATGTGTCGGACTTCCTCCTTAATATTAAGCAGCTCCGCTTCGCCTCTCTCCCTTTCCTCAACACTACCAAGTGCTTGCGTCCTCTCCCTCAACAGAGTCGTATCCTGACATGAGTATAACACAGTAAGGATTGATGATGAATGACCTTGGCTATGAGCTCTCGGATTCCCCTCCAATCGTGATCGAAGTGTTCCGGGCAACAGTAGTACGTTGGACACTCGTTGCATCTAATCTTCGCCTCCTTCCCACAGAGTTCGCACTCATATTTAGCCCCCTTGGGCCGATATAGACTACTGATAACGCTGGTAGTCATAGCTTAATCTCAAAATACTGATCGTATGCAGTCGTATGATAAGTGGCATGGAAACTCCATAGATCCAATATGAGATCCTGTATAAGCCCTAGGAACTTAACAACACCGATAACACACAACTGGTGTCGACTCGACACTGTCGAGTGAGAAGCCAAAGCTGGCAAGGGCGAGTTTCGAGAGCAAGAGTAAGGCTAGCCCCAATAGTTCATAACTATCGAGTCGCCCTTACACCCCATGCTAGACCTTGCGAACAGATTCGACAGTAACTCATCAAGGGACCGGAAAAAGCTCTCGACGCCTATCTGGGAAATAACAACTTCTATTTCGCGTGTTTACCCAGATAGAAATTACTGCTTTCAAAATAGTGTTGAAAAGTTGTTTACTTGGACACATTTCAACAGATGATTGATAAACATCGATCTACTACCACA